AAATACTTGACACGGTATATCTATTCTGTGATAAAATATTCTTTTGTGCCATGCCACCTGACATGGCGGGTGACGTGCAAGTCAAGAATAGAGAAAATGTAAAAATCAGTCCAGTCCAGTCCAACTGTCCAGTCCAACTGTCCAGTCCAGTCCAGTCCATGTTTTGTACTATGCCGTCTCCGTTAACCAAACCTACCAACTACGAAATAATCATCAAAAGCTTTACCTACCAAAACCTAAGACGAATTTTTTAAAACGAAGCTTCTCCTATAGAGGAGCAGTCTCATGGAACCAAATGTTAATGGAAAAACTTCCAATTACGGAAATACCTGAAACTTCCATCTGTTCTTTTAAAAAATTAATAGATGGCTTGTGTTTTTGAATTGGGAGGTCATCCTGCCAAACCATATCAAAGCATTATGCCTTGCCGATGTAAATAGAGTATATTATGCATGATCGTTTTTTTTTAAGTTAATAATTTTAATATTCTTATAATAGTTTATAGTGAGTGTGCACGGCCCTTTGAAAAACAGGCTTCTGAAAGGCTACCGTGAATAAATAAGCTTAAATAATAATAATAATAATAAAAATGACGCCCGCGCGAAATCAGTGTTGCGGATTGACAAAAAGCATGCGCAGAATGCGAGGGAAGTTATGGCGTTTAAAGGTAACATTTTTTTGAGACTTGGGGTAAAAAATTGGTTGAGACATGGGAGGGGGTAGTGAACTGAAATAACGGTCTTGAGTGTTTGTTTTAGTTTAAGGATTGGACGTGTGTTAATAGCTGTGAATGTGATGTGCGACAGGCTTGTGTGGTTGGCCAGAGGTGGTTGACCATATTTGCGCAAATAAATGTATTTAGTATTACTGTTGTATTGAGTTGCGAAGATTGTTTTGTTAGTTTCTTTATTTGCATTTTCTGTTTTGTTTGCTAGGTCATTTTGTGTGTATAGTGGTGCTTTGTTAAAGGTTGTGATAATGTTGTCATTTTGTAGCCTCACTGAATGAGGGCAATAAGTAGGGGCGTTGGAGAGGCTCTAGAAGTGGCGGGCACACTTAGCCGTGAGTTCGCCTTCGCAACATTCTAGGGGGGTCCGGGGGCATGCGCCCAGAAAAACCAACCTCGTTCCCAGGCTCTTCCCTCTTGAGGAGGAAAGACCCTGATCGGAGCGGGTCACGTGGCTCCCAGATTATGGGTGCTAAATTGAAATTGTACTTAGGGAGGGGTGATGGAGGAGTGCGCTTGTTGCGCTTTGAAAGTTGTGTTATAGTTTTTGGGCGATGAAATTTAAATTCGCAATTCAAGAAATCCAGAAAGATTTCATATTTATTATGAGGTTACATTAGTCAAGAGAGAAGTTGGATCAGATTTCAGTGGACATCAAGAGTTGGCGACGAAAGCAGGCTTCGCCGTAAAAATTTGAGCGAATGATGTGGTTGTGACTGTTGTCAGACAGTGTTGCAGTGTATCCTGTCCGATACGTACCTTGTGTAGAGTTGTGGAATTGCTATAAAATAGCAAGATTCTGTGATCAAGCTAGTCTTTTAGTTTCTCCAAGTGCCTCAGGGTCATGTGTAAGTTTTTGGTAATCACGATTTGAGTCATTTAATTAACAATTATTGTTATATGGCTTTTCAAAATTCTCTTGATTGAGCATGCATGCCTACCTACCGTATATTGTTACCCAGTGAAACTGACAATTAAATTCGCGCGAAAAGCATATGCTCACAGACTCAGTTCAGCCATATACTAAACCGAGTATTGACCTCGCTTGTTCGGTCTGTATTGTGAAATATCAGACCTCTGTTTTTTGCATGGACCTCGCTCCTTCGTCGCTTGATCCATACTAAAAAAACCTTGCTCGGTCTGATATTTCACAGTACAGACCTCACGCTCGGTCAATAAGCCGTTATTATTCGCCGAAGGTGAGGTGATTATTATTGGTGAATAAAAACCGAGACAAAGGCGAGATTTTTATTCACGATAATCACTGAGCCTGAGGTGAATAATTGTTTTACTGTAATTTCATAGGTGATTATTTGGGGAAAAAATAAAAAATACACATTTCTTTGTCATTTAATTGACAAAACGGGTTCGGCCGCCATTTCGAAAATTGCTTAGGTGATTATCGCGTTATAATCATTTCAACGGCAACCAATCAGCTTGGAGAATTTTCAATAATCACCTATGCAATTATACTAATTGTGTATATACCTCAGCTAGATAGGTATCTTTGCGCCAGATTACAATGGCTCCCCCATTGTCTGCTGGTTTAATGATCAAATTATTATCAGTTAAGGTTATGGTTAGCTTGTAGTTCATCTTTTATAGATATATTTGATTTGGCAGGTTCTTTGTGTTTCTCATATTCAGTTTTAAGATCATGATAAATGTTTGAAATGTTAGAACTGTGCGCCGGAGCCTGCAGAGTGCCGGAGCCAGAGCTCCGGCATATTTTGTCGGAGCCGAAGTTGGAAAACTCCGGCAAAAACTCCGGCATATATGAAATTTCATTAAAAATTACTTGCCGGAGTTTTGACTGCCGAAGCCGGAGCTAAAATAACCGGAGTTTGCACAGCTCTATAAAATGTATTCTTGAAGGTTACTGTTATCAGGTATATAGGGGCTGTGAAATTTGTTGGTACTTTAAAAGGGTGTCTGTTTGCGTTTGCGTTTGCGTTTGCGTTTGCGTTTGCGTTTGCGTTTGTACATGTTTGTGTTTGTTTTGTGCCTGAAAAAGTATCTGTTCTACATGGGTTTTTTTCTCTTTATTTTAAGAAAGAGTTATAAATTGGCTTCACCTTTGATGAACTAAAAGGGAGGCCGGTCGCGCGGGGGCAGGGACATCTTCAAAAAAATTGTTTTTGAAAAAGTTTTAGATGTTTAAAAAAGTTTTAAAAGTTTAAAAAGTTAGATTTTCAAAAAAGTTAAAAAAGTTAGGGGTTAGTGGTTAGGGTTGGGGTTAGAGTGATAGGTGCCGCGAATTTATTATTATGATAAATTCAGAATGTGCCGCGAATTTATCATGATAAATTCAGATGTGTTTAAGAATTTACTCATATAGTAAATTCAAAGGTGGAGCTCATGCTGGCATAAAAATAGTGCGGGCTCGTGAGCTTTTTCCGGCAAATTTTGCTTTTCGATGTTTGGCGTACAATTTCTAAGGATGTTGAAGTATACAGCATTGTGATTCACTGGTTTTTGAAAGCATCTGGGGTTTTTTGTTCGAAGTTCTAGGCTAACTCTTCAACAACCTAATGATTGTTTTTAAAGCAAAGCAATTGAAAGGAAAACTTATATTTTCATCCTTGTATCTTAAAAGTGTACTTGGAACAGCCGAACAAAGCGGTGGTAAATTTTGTTACCCGGTGTGCTGGGCATCATAATTCTGACGGGAATAGTACACAGCGGCGTTTATACTGGTTATGAAATATCTGCAACGTGTGACTGTTCTAAGGGCTACATCATCTGAAAAACCTGTAATGTCTGGAGTCCCTCAAAGTTCTATCCTTGGTTCAACACTCTTCCTCCTTTATGTTAACAACCTACTTACCTACCTGATGTAGTGAATAATGCAAAAGTAGTTTCTTTTGCTGACGACACAAAATTATTCAAGTGTGTTGATTCTCACATATACAGTGCCTCGATTCAAAGTGATCTTGATAATCTTGAGGAGTGGTCCACTTCTTCTGGACTTGTATTTAATCAAACTAAATGCAAGTGTCAGAGAATTACCAGGGAAAAGATACCACCGAATATCGAATTCCCCTACACCATCAAAAACAAAACCCTCGCAGTAACAACAGAGGAGATGGATCTTCAGTTGGCATTTGGGTTACTAGCAATCTGACATGATCCAAACACCCCCTCGATCGATGCGCCGCAGCCAATAGGATGCTCGGATTCGTACGTAGATCTGCAACGGAAATCACGGATAAAAGGATTCGCCGTGCATTGTATTTGGCAGTTGTACGACCAGTCCTGGGCTACGCCACTCAAGTGTGGTCGCCGCAGTCGGTCGAGCTCATAAACCGAGTAGAACGTGTTCAACGCCGAGCTTCAAAGTTTATTCTAGGTCTCCCATTCATGTATGACGTATCCTATAAAGACAGACCCATCTCGATAGAACTTCTTCCCCTCTCATATTGGCATGAATATTTAGACTTGTTTTTCTTCAAAGCTATTATTGGCATTGTATCGATATCTCAAAATTCCTTACCCGAACGTATTGCTCCCGTAAGAGTGACCAGATCATCTGCAAATGTAATTAAACGCAATCTCATTCCGTCAACGAAAACATAAACAATAACTTATAATCGTTCATTCTTTCTTCGAACAACTAGAACTTGGCTCTCTACCGGAGCATTTAAGGCTTAATAATCTTTCTTTTATTCAATTTAAGAAACTGGAACATTAGCACACTATGTATGAATATTAGCATAATATGTAATCGTTACTAATAACGGAAAAAAACTCGGGCGTGGTCGTGTGGCTGGGGTGCGGAAAATCGGACGAAAGGGCATGCAAGTGCGCAATTGTTATAGCATAAATTTATCTTAGGTGAGCCACTGCCATACTCTGCCGCCTGGGGGGGGGGGGGATCTTTGCAGAGAAACTATTTTCATTGCAGTATTTCGTGACAATTTGTTGGCCGATTTATAGTTTATATTGTAAAACGGGTTCCTAGTGAATTAAATTACAGTGCGTCTACAGTAAGTGGGGCCACTTAGAGAACAATAACCAATCGAATTGCAGAACAAAAAGAAAAATCTAATCAAACTAAAGATCGCCCAATCAAAAGAAAGATTCAGGAAGCCATTAACCGCAGTGTTTACTTTTCAAGTCTATTTTTAGGCATAGTACAAAACATGGACTGGACTGGACAGTTGGACTGGACTGGACAGCTGGACTGGACTCGACAGTTGGACTGGACTGGACAGTTGGACTGGACTCGACAGTTGGACTGGACTGGACTGTTGGACTGGACTGATTTTTACATTTTCTCTATTCTTGACTTGCACGTCACCCGCCATGTCAGATGGCATGGCACAAAAGAATATTTTATCACAGAATAGATATACCATGTCATGTCTATTTTGTGATTTTATCGATCGGAACATTGTCTGGTGTGTACCAGGAGGAGATTGGTTGCAAGTCAAGAATATAACGTTTTGCACCTGAATTACTTTTGATTTTTGGAAATTGAAATATTTGACCTTCGCCGATGACCTCACTTTATAACTGGAGTGAAATCTCAGTAAGAAACCCCAGTAAGTAGAAGAGAATAAAATAGCAGACATAAACTACTTATCTGTCTTTGCTATGGGTAGCCTGCTCGCATACGTATTAAATTTCGATATTTCAGTCTGCATGGCCATGGGCGTAGGAAGATCGGTATTTTGGGAGGGCTCATATTCATATATTCATAAAGCAATCAATTTCAAAAGAAGTAAATGATGCAGAACACGAATATATGAATATGAGCCCCCAAAATATCGATCTTCCTACGCCCATGGCCATGCAGACTGAACTATCGAAATTTAATATGTATGCGAGCAGGCTACCCATAGCAAAGACAGATAGGTAGTTTGA